GTTGAGAACCACTGACCTAGATTGCTAAAGAAGACAGCTTTGATGCCACAGAGAATTAAAGTAAACACCTTTTTCCCATTTAATTTTGTAGCATGCTGCGTTAAAACAAAAAATTGACACTTAAAACAATCACTTTCCAAAACTGATTCAATATGCAATGACTAACTGTGGAATAATTATTTTGAGGGAACAGTGAATAATACATATTAGTATTTTTAAAACTTAAGCTTTCAGAGTTGAATGACAAAGAATATGAATATAACAAGGATATTTAAGAACTTTATCTGCAAACCACAATGTCTATGGGAATATTGTAAGCATTTTAACTTATATATAAACTTTACCACTCCTTGAACTTTCAATCTTGTTTCTTTATCTTCCAATACAACTTTGGACAAAATTCAAGCTTAAAGAAACAAGGGATGGTATTACAAAGTCTTAAACAACAAAAGGCAGCACAAAAACCAAAGTCAAAACTAACTTCCTGTTATATTTATATTCTGCATTATCTTCAAAGAGTCTGGAGGTTTACAAATAAGTTCCAGCTGATCTCTAATTGCTTTTTGTTTCTTCAAATTATTATGTACCTTATTACAGTTTTAAATTACTGCTTCTGGTGCTAGTTCTTACCTCTTTCAATATATTGTTTAGTTTTCCTTACATGTTTGTACACATCTAGAGTACAAAATGAAAATCCTACTCCCATGGAATTATAGCTTTCATTTTCAAATTTTAGCTTGAATGTAGCAGTGAATTTTATCAGCAGACAAAACATATTTTTAAAAAGAATTTATTACTTACGCTCCTGAACATTTAAGATAGCTCTTCAAAAAAATGTCTTAACTCATCTTAAGAAAGGAGGAACACTAAGCAAGATAGCAAGTTGCTTACAAAAACTTCATACCCAGCCATAACACTGGGTATGAAAAATGAATAATATTTTTCAAGACAATGAAAATGAGTTCTCAATCTTCTTGAGTCTGTAAGCACATTCACAATTTTACCATTATATTGCTTGCTGTAGTGATTATAGTGCAGTACAATCTAAACTCAACAGAAAACAAAGAATCCTCTTGACTCAGCCTCTTTAAACCATTCAAGTGAATTCAATTTTATTAGTCCAATATGTTTATATTGCTGGAGTTTTAACTTTCTTTCTTTCTTTGGCTACAATCATTATTTTATTTTCTAAGGATCCTCTTAAGTTATACCCCAGAAATATTCTTCAAAATAAAGATTATGCTTGACTGATGTTTTGCATCATACTATTTTATAGTTTACACACACACATATACACACGTACACACACATGCACCTACCCGAATGTGGGATCTTAGAAATAAAATAGGATATTTTCAGGAATATTTCCAGGAATACTCAAGGAAATTTTTAATTGCATTTATCCACTTTTCTTTTTCTTATTATCCTCAGTCTTGCCACACATAAATGCTTATCTAGCCATCAATTCACACATGACAGGCCCAAAGAGTGTGAGTTTCAGCTTTTTGATAATTGCCTCAAATACTGTCTTTACTGGTTCAGGACAATTGATTGTTTTTGTACTTCATAGTACTCTTAGACAACTCTGAATTATGGGTCCATACTATCTTTTTCTCTCATTCTTTCTCATTTTCCACCTTTCACAGGAAAAACTACTACTTTACTGATTCTGATTTTTATCATACCTTTCTTTATCCTTTATGATCCTAAGCTTGTCACTGCCTTCCTCTAAGATTAATCTTCCAGTGTCTGCTATATATTGCAGAATTCAAGAAAACAAAACACTTTGCCACATTTGTCATCAACTATAAATCCACTAAAATATTAAGATTTTTTATTTTCCATTTTACTTGCATAATATGGTCCTGTAAATCTTCTTTATTTTGGAATAGAAATGTGGCATTTTTTTCATATTTCAATTTTTTAGTATTTCAGTTTCCAATTTTTATTTTTACTGTCATCTCTTCCAATCTTGCCATTTTGCCATAATATAATCACTCTGAAAGTTAAAAAAAGATGTATTCTTCTCTCACACTCTTTCCTAGTTTGAATTGTTCTCCAAACTATGTTCTTATAGCCCTATCATGTTCATTTGTATAAGTTTCTCAAATAATAAAGTTACTCTGGCACTCTCATTAACTTTAATGCATGCCACGTGCTGAGATCACCTACACATAAAGGTCACTGTCAAGAAAGCAAAGGTGCACGCACCTCTTCTCTTGCTCTATTACCCAACTTATTTTCCCATCTGATCTGTTTCTGTGCCCCACTGATTTTGCAATCTTGATTCTTAAAGGTTGAACTTTTCACTTTCCTTTAACTTCATTTGTCTCTATTATGTGAACAGTCCTATTTCATCTATAAATCTTCTAGAGATTTATTTTCCTAAAAGACTTATCTCATTTTTATTTTCTTGTTATTTTCCTGAACCTATTGATGCTCTTAAGTGAAGTATCTTTCTTTGTCTGTATTTAGCCATCATACATCCTACTTGTTGCCCAAGACTTTCATCTTCCATCATATCTCACTATCATAATAGCTTATCCTGAAACCCACTTGCATCTCCTCCTGTTTGACATTTTGAGATATGTTTTGGCTTTGATATTAACAATGTCTCATTCCATTCAGTAGCTATTCAGGCTTTTTTCTCATAAATTTATCAAATTTGTTCTTTGCACTTATCTTATATTCTGAATGTGAGTTCTTTCAAGTAGATACTGTTTAAACATCTCCACTTTTCATAATTTCAATCTGTATATTTGATACTGGTATCAAATATATTGGAATTCTGGCTGACTAGATGCCTTTCTGTTTACTATTATGTAGCTTACAGTATTTTGATTCTGACATCACTCATCCAATAATGTGTGGAGTCTTATTTATGTTACCTGAACTTTGCAAAACTATTAACCTCTATCAAATCAATTTTTATTGTAGATTTGGGAAGTGGAGGTGGATGGGTAATGCCATGACATTCTAGTTCCAACTTTATGTATTCCTGTAAAGGAAGAAACTTTTCTTTCAATACTAACACCATCAGTGGTCAAACCTTCTTGAGCTTATGTTCTGGGCACATCATCACTGCCCTCTAGATTTGTAAAAATTAAATCCTTTTTTCCAGTAACCAGAGGAATATCTCCTGATGGGGGTCCCAACACTGGAGACCCAGACTTATATAAACATTACTGTTATGCATATACAGTTTTCTTGGCAGCATTATAGGAGTTTATAATAAGTTATATTTAGATTATCTATAATCTGTGGGAAAGCTGTCTAGCAACACAGTTTAAGAATTCACTCCCAGGCTGCTTACACCAAATGCTCTCAACCATAAAACACTATACTTTGGCCTCTTCAAACCTGAATCTTCTCTTGTTTCCTGCCCAGCAAAGGCATTCTAATAGCCACATTGTTTCACTTGGAAAATTCAGATATCACTTTCTCTTCAAGAATGAAGAGGGGTTGAAAAGCAGTCACTGTTTCCAAAGACCATAGCAACTGACAATAACAAGTCAATTTAGTCACTTGCAGAGTATGGCCAAAACTTTAGATATACTTCTGTACTGTTGAATTCAGCAGTTTATTTCTGAATAAATTTAAGATTGCACTGAATTAACCAATGACGGGCATGCTTTTTGACGTATCAGAAGACTGCCCAGTATTTGAAATTCTGTGGAAATGATCCATTGATAAGCTATGATAGCAGCATAGGCCTCTTTAATACCTAACATGCCATTTTAAAGCATGTTTAATATAGGCACAAAAATATGGTTATTTATTTTATTTGGGGCAGGGGGAAGACCTGTAGAGTAAAAACAAACTCTTCCCTGGTTTGCAGAAACTGGCACTCTTGCCAAGTCACCAAAAATAATGGGGTAGTCTACATTACTATTACTAGCATTATGCCAATCTCAAACTAACACTTAATCTCATTTTATAAAGAACTATCACCTCTTCTGGAATGTTGTCCATGGGGTCGCGACGGGTCGGACACGACTTCGCAATTAACAACAACAACAACAACAAATCACCTCTTCTATACATTCATGAATCCATTAGGTAAACAGCTAGCTTCCATGGTGCATATCTAACTAAATGTGGGAGATGCATGTTAGCAAGATATTATTATTGCCTGTAAAAATGCTGTAACTGAGCATTTTTACTCAGGTAAATAAAAGTAAGAACAAATTTTGTAGATGATAGTTAAATTATTATTTTTCCCTGAAGCTAATTATTTACATTCATTTTCATTTATCTCATCTTATTCCTGTTTCCTACAGGCCCACCTTCCTCCTGGACTGAGGATGAAATCTAACAGAGCCCCAAAGTAGCTATTGATTCTTTCTCCTGCTGCATAGTTGTCTTTTGTGTTTTCAGAGATCAGACAAAATAAAGCTTAAAGACATATCAATGTCATTCTTAGGAATTAAATACAAATTCTACAAGACTGTTATCTCTAGGTTAGGATTTATTGTTTAATCATTGTAAGAAACTTTTATACTTTGTTTTATTGCAAGTCTTGTGCGTTTATATAAAAAGAAAAGCAGGGCATAAATTTAAAAATAGATATGAATATCTGCCTTAAAAGCAGACAAGTCGAGACATGTACTTGTAATCTCTCTTACTCCCTTTGTAGACATAACATTTGTTGTTTCACAGCATTTTATTTCTGCCGGTTGTGGCATACCATCACACCCACCCTCCCAGGGACCATTAGAATTAGAAAGAAAAGGTAGCCCAGCAGTGAAAGAATTTCGCCCAAAAACAAAAAAGAGGAAAAGAAGAGATTTCTCTATCCGATTTTAACTTCCCTACGATAGCTTCAGAACGAGAACGAGAAGTGCCCAGAGTTAGCGCCTCGTGGTCAGCTCGCGGGGCTGCAGAACTTGGGACTTACAACTCCGGGATACAAAAGATAAGCACTCTGCCCCATCCGGGAGGCTCAGCCCCAAATCAGTTCGCCCACCTGAAGTGCACGATTGCAACCATTTCTCTCTCACCTTTACAAACAGGAGAACTAGGACTCTTGCTCTCCGGAGAGGCCCCGTTTTGCTCCGGCGAATGCCGTCGCTGGCGATGCCGGATTTTTCCTCCTGATCCGGCGACGGCGGCACAGGCGCTGCCTTCAGGCACCGGCGGCGAAACCGGGGACGAGCAAGGCGAAGGCGTCGAACCGGGTAGGGGCGGCGCCGGCAGGCGAGGGGGGCTACTACGCGCCCCTCCCCCGCCCGTGGGGCTGCCGCGCGCGGAGCCCGAGGAAGAGGACAAGGAGGGTGTCCCCGTGGCGGAGCCGCCCGCCCCAAGAAGCGTCTGCGTACCCACGGCCGGGCTGCTGCTGCTGCTGCTAAGATTGGTGTTGCCCCCGCGGGCGCCAGCGTTGTTGCCGCTACCAAGCGTCGGTCGCGTGGGGCTGGCGGCACGCGCGGAAGGCAAAGGAGGCGGCGGCGGCGGCGGTTGGAGTGGGGCGTTTGCTGCTGCTACCGCCGCCGCCGCCGCCCCTCGTGGAATGCTGCCGCCGCCGCTCCTCGTGGGGCTGCCGTGCTGCTTAAGCTGGAAAGGCACTGTGGCCCGCATGGGCTGTAGGCGGCTGTTGGTGCCGGCTGCCCCGCCTGCCGTCGCCACCACGGTCGCCGCCGTAGTAGTCGCCGCCACGGCCGCGGCTCCCCCTCCCCCCGAGGAGGTGGCTGAGGTCGGGGAGCCGCTGAGCCTCACGCGCGGCTGGGAAGACATGCTGGTCTTTTCCGGGCGCCCGCCCGAAGCTGGATCAGTAGTAATAGCGAGGAAGCAAACAAAACCCCCACCTTCCTCCCCGTCCCTCCCCCACACCAGCACTGAATCCTCGCACACGGGGAGACACTCGTGAGGCTTCTCCGGCTGCCTCATCAACAATAGTAATCTCACCAGCCTCTCCCATTGGAGGCGCATCGACTCCGTTCCTGCCGCTACAGCGTCCTGATTGGCTGAGGGGCGTGGTCTAAGGGCGTGGGGGTGTGAGGCTTAAAGGGACAGGGCCCGATCTGGGCTACGTAAGAGGAAGGTGCGTGAGTCGTATGACAGGGCGCTGTCTACGCCTGTGTGCCTACTACTCGATTGAGGGAGGGATCTGCTAATGCCATTGATGCAGCGCACTCGTAGTCTTACCTTTCGTCTAGGAAATGCTGAATGCTTGCTTACGTTTCTATCCTGGACTCAGTATCGCAGCTTTGAAGTTAAATATATGAACAAGCAGTTTCTCCTTTTGGCCACGTAAAGCCAAATAGAGGCCTACTCACTATGTCTTCAGCATGTGCCAGTCCACCCTGCAGAAATTGCAGAGAATGTGTTGCTTCCTGTCCCACAGTCCGCCAGCCCATCCACTACTGATCCTTAATTTTTCCAAAAAGAGACATGGAATATCAGATACTCTAACCTTCCTTCCTCTGACAGTTCCAAATGTTATCAAAGCCAGCAACTATAGAAATATATTGAATTATTGATTTAATTAGCAAATAACAGTACAGTCAGGGTTCCTGGTAATCACTTTTTTTAGGAATAAACAAATGGTAGGCCTAAATTAATTCTACTTCGGTGCAGCTTGCCAACTAGCTCAGCACTTCCTATCTTTGAAGAAAGCACTAATATAGATTAACATATGTACTAGCCAGATTGTCATCAAGCAATGTATTGTGATGGCATTGCTCCACTGAAGCGCAAATCAGGTAACAGACTCTAGGGTTTTATGAATCCAGATTTGTGATCAAATGTATAGTATAGTATGTATAGTATGTTATGTGGATCCAGAAAATTATGCAAGCTACGGTTTATCTTAACATGATTAAGCACATTGTGTGAATATTTTTTCTAATAGCATGTTTACACACACACACACACACACACACACTCATAAATATAAGAAATACAGACTTGAATATATACTAGTTTTATATTATCTTGTGATCCCTTTCAACCTTCATTGTTTTTGTTCTATAACAAACTGATCTCTGGCTGATAAAGATCATAATCCAACAGTTCTGGTGGCAGCAGGTTGGCTTCACCTGATTCCTACTACATTGAAAACAAAGCCAAATTTCCCATCCCATGCTACAGCAGTTCTTTGAATGCCTGAGGCTGCAATCTTTTCCCATATTAAATATCTACTGAGTCTGAGAAAAGGGTGTGAGGCTACTTGAAGAATCAAATGAACAGGTTTAAACCTGATTAAGAAATAATATCCATTTCCCACACCCTGTGTAACCCACTGTACGTCTTATTGCTGTATGAAAAAAAGGAAAACCTGTCCATTGTTACTGCTGCAGTTTCTACCAAAATATTTATTTATTGTGTTTGTTTTCCATTCTTCCTCATAGGAGAGCAATATTTTAGCTATGCAGTAATTGTGTGGGGTGGAGATTAATATAGTGTAAATTTCAGAGCCAAATCAAGATAGTTTCTACTATGGCTGTTCAGTGCTTCAGCAGTAATTAGAAAAAGCATTTTGGAGTGTGCAAGAGTGCAACCTAGAACTTCACTGCAAGTCTTTAATTAAAAAGTTGCATCTTTTTCCTAGAATCACACAATAGCCCCTTGCAAGCTGATGTATAATTCTTGGAAAAGACTTGCGATTTGTATATAGATATTATATTTGCATTTCCTGTGTGCTCCAAGGCACCTTTTTGAGATTGAATCCTGAACATTACATAGTGCTAGTATATTCAATCAAGCTGACCAGGACTTTTTTCCTGTGCAGTTGTAAATATTCTGTCCAAAGTTGTCTTATAAATGTAGTCAGCAGTTAGATCCATCAGTCATTTGAAACTATGGTTTATTTTCACCATTGTTTGAGTGGCAGTTGTAAATGACTAGATTCACAGATTTTGAGTGTAACTTTAAACCCTTTCTTTAATTATGGCTTTTCAGTAAAACCTGTCCGGCATTGTTATATTCTTCCATTATTAAAATAACAACACTAGACAACCATGACCACTGAGTCATTATTTCAGAGGTATTTCTTTACTAGTTTCCTCAATGCCTTCAACAATGACAGAGCTTCTAATCTACTGCCTTCACTGGAAATGTTCTTAAAAATTTAGGGTGATATTCAGAGATGTATCTGCCTTGAAAATAGCACAGTTAAACTTTAAGAGTTGAGCGCAGAATAAATGTTTTATGACATTCTGTATTATATCATTATATGTTTTATGATAATGTTTATGTCATAAAAAGTTTAATAAAATTTGCCAAATTTTAATTCCACAGAAGTCATGGGTCCTGAATTTTGGATGCATTCTGTAAGTTAGCCAGTTTAAGGTACCCTAATTCAAAAAATATTGCACCATTATGCCTAGTTAAAGACAGACAGTAATAGTTAGATAATAATTTCTTCATCAAATTGTAAAAATCTTGTTTAAGTTGAGCTTGAGTTTATTTACTTTCATGTGTCCCAAACCATCTTGCCAATGCCTGCTTCCAGAAAGTCTGCATAAGAGCCATCATTCTCTGCATGCCCACAGTTTGTTATTGGTTGCCCACTCTATACCACATGCTGTAACATGTGTCACTGATTTATATATACCTCAATGGATTATGCAGCCATTCTGTCAGCTTTCCACAAAAATTCTGAGCTGATAGTGTGGGGAGACAGCTGTATGGATGCAAACAGATGTTTCAGGATATCATACAAAAGCAAAAAGAATTATTTCTAGAGGTATATCTTTTGGGATGAAGGGAAGCAATATTAATCCCTTATTTGCCAATCATAAAGAAATGTATTTATTCAGCCATTGATAATATCAATCAATCAATTTATTATTACAGCCAAAGGCCAACACATAAATTAAACATTCAAATAAAACAAAACTAAACAGAACCAACACAAAAAGACATAGCAATGTATTACAATTAATGATGTAATCAATGGGTGACCAAGATCTGCCTAGTTTTACAGACAGTATAACAAAAACTAGCTAGCTTCAGAAAAACTGAATCATACTGACCTGACAATAAAAATATATTGAATATAGTCTAATGCTGGATAAAAACACATAATAAATTTAATTATAAAAGATTATTAAAAATATCTAAAATGTTTATGTTTCTGGCAAATCCCCAATGCTACTGCACAGAATCTAGCCACCTGCGCCGTGATCACTGCCTGCTCACCCTTAAGCAGCCACTGGAGATAAAAAAACCTATCAATTATGGGGAGGATATGGTTTTTCCGAATAGCTCTATAGAAGGAGCATCGAAGGAGTATGTGTCCAATGGTCTCCACCTCTCCTGAGCCACAGGAGCAGAGTCTTCCAGCCAATGGTGTCTTTTTATACTTGCCATACAGGACGGTCAATGGAAACATATGGCACAATGCAAGCAAGAATGCTTTCTGGTGGTTTACTGACTCCAACTGACTAAGATACTTGGCAGGTGTACCACGTATCTAATAGAGTCTGGAGCCAGAAACAGCGGAGCTATAACCTAAGTCCGCTTGCCTCTCAATGTCCTCTACCCTTTGACACAAGGTTTGTTTTGCTTGGTCATAGTCCAATTTGAGAATTGAGACTGAGGAGAAGCCTAGTTTGGCAAGGTTGGACTCGACTGTCTTGATCCATGAAGAGGAGAATTTATGTTGAAGAATTTATCTTGCAGAAAACAATTAAGCCTTAGCCAGATGTTTAAGGAAGCTATACAGATTCTTGCTTTGACTTTTATCAATCCTGTCTCCAGGCACAGAAGTGCATTTGGGACACAGCACGACATCTGGAGAATTGTTCTGATAAATTTGAATTGAACTCTTTCCTGTGGTGTAAAACATGAAGTTGACAGTCCGAGCAAGGTCCCATAGAGAAGCTGTGCTAGCGACTTGGCCAGAAAGAGCTTAATTGCAGCTGGAACATAGTGTCCTCCCTTTGTGCAGAAAAATTTAAGAATGGATTTGTTGATCGTTGGCCAGAGGTAGCTGCATATTCTCCATGGGCTTTTTGTGAGCCAGTGGCATGGATAACCACCTCTAGGTACTTAAAGGTGGTTACCTGCTCTATTTTGTGGCTATTTAAATACCATGAGTACCGTTTTAGCCTTTTTGCAAAAGCCATAACCTTTGTTTTCTCATAATTTATGTCCAGTTTATATTTGCAACACTGGACAAGGGCTCACAAGGCTCTTTTAAGGCCAACTGGAGTCCTGGAGAGAATCACAGTGTCATCTGCATAGAGCAGCAGAGCAATGCTCTGGTCACCTACTTTTTGGGGGTGGTAATTTGGATTATTTAACCATTTTACCATATCATTTATGTGAAAATTGAAGAGCAAGAGGGCCAAAATGCACCCTGTTTAACCCCGTTTTGAGTTTCAACTGACCTCGAGAGAGACCCTTGCATATTACACCTCACCTTGAGGGATGTTTTGGTATGTAAGGTATGTAACAGATGGAGGAGTCTGTGATCAATTGAGGCAGCTTCCAGCTTCTCCCGTAGCTTAGTCCTTGTAATCGTGTCAAAAGTTGCCTTAAGATCTATAAAGGCAGCGTATAATGATACAGGTCTATCTGATGCATATTTTTTAATCAAATGATGAAGAACTAAGCACTGATCCATGGTGCCTCTCCCCTCTCTAAACCTGGCTTGTTCTTTGGCAATCAGGTTCTCAAGATTCAGCCACTCCTTTAATTTATCTTGAAGGTGTTTGGCATAAAGTTTGCTGATTATATTTAGCAGACCTATTGGTCTGTAATTTGCAGGATCATCTCTCTTTCCCTTTTTATAAATTGGTATCACAATTGCCAAGCCCCAATCCTCTGGGACATGGCTGGTGGAGTCAATATAGGTGAATAGTGCTGCCAGGACAGGTATCCACCACT